TGACCGTTTCTTCTGGGAGGTCAAATTCAGGTGATGCAGCGGACTGCCGATGCTGGCGAGTTGTGCGTGGCAAGCCAGCCTGGTGGGGCTTAGCTTGCACCGACTGGACTCAAGCTTTGTATGTCGATCTTGTGAGGATCGGTTCTTGACGGTCTTGGGACCGTGACTTCTAGGTGGTGATCACCGAACAATGTTCCTCGAGTTGCTCAGGCTCCGGAGTTTGAAGAGGGAAGAAGGGCTTACAAGGCAAGAGGTCGTCAGGGGTGGTGAACTCGACTGCCTTGGAGGTTTCCCTGGTCAGGATCTGCATGCCTCTTTTCTGCTTGATCTTGAGGCGGTTGTGGACCTCATTCTAGAACTGAGCCTGAGACCTGGACTGCTCCATTTTCTTCAAACAGGCGAGGGCCATGTCTATGAGCTGGAGCAGGGAGTGGGGCCCAAGGATTGAGGGCAGCTTGGGTTCTTGTCTTGGAGGCTGGAGGCCTCTGTCTGACATCAAGTCGTTGCCCCGAATTCCTTCGTGAGGCCTGGGTGTTCAGTTGACCAGGGCTGGCTCAAGATGCTACTCTTAGGGAAGACCTTTGAGTACCAGGGCTCGAGGTGCTTGCCTAGCGTCAGGGAAGTGGGAAAGGAAGAAGCTAGTTCGTGACTCCACCTGAGTTTGGATCCGGAAGGGACCTGTAAAGATGATGTGTGTGCACCTTTAGGGTTGCCATCCGGGTGACTTGGGGGTCAGCCCGGGCTCGGTCAATGGTTTTGACCTGAAGAGGCCGAGACCCGCGAGCTTATGTTTGTGGGGGACGAGGAGGGAACTTGTCTCCCACAAGGTGAAGCTGTGTGTGTCGAGAGGGAAGATGGAATGGTCGACCCTCATGTGCTCGAGGTGGCATAGAGCTAATGCTGCCTCGAGCTGTGGAAAGCGAATGCATGGCTCATGTAGGGTTTGGCCCGAGAAGGCCTGGCTCTGGATGCGAGCTCAAGGCAACATGAGGGTTGCCCTGAGGTGTGGCTCGAGTGGATAGACCATGAGCCTTTGAGTGTGTGCGAGGGATGAAGACCTGAGGACCTCCGCCTCTGTGTACCGACCCTTTAGGTGTGGAGGCTCAGAGTAGTGAAGGAGCACAGGGGGTTGCCTTGTGATGAACCTCAGGAGCAACGGTAGTTTGCTTGCCTTTCGCAGGGATGGATGGGGCACCCTTCTGGCATGCCGCAGCAGTATGACTGGCAGGAGATTTGCCAGTAGCAGGGTGTGGGGCAGCAGGAGTGGCCCTTGGTGGAGAGTCCACCAGGGCGAGAAAGCCGGGAGGCAAGGACCTTTAAGTCCCGTCTCGCACTGATCCAGGTGAGAACCTGGGAGTCGGATCGTGAATCCTGGCTCAGAAGGAGAGTAGGGAAGGAGGCTTATGCGACTCGCTTCCTTAGGACAGCCATAAGCGCAAGGATAAGGAAGTCTCCGACCCGGATGAACGGGTTGAACAACCCAAGTGCCATAGAAATAGGTGTAAAAAGTAAAAAGGAAAATGGTCAAACAAGAGCGAACAGACAAGGGGGTAGTAAGTCCCCAGTGGAGTCGCCAAGCTGGTTAGGTGCCTCGATCTCGCCGTCCGAATCTAGGTGATCTGGCGGCACGTGTCTCGGGTTTCTGGTGAACCCGGGATTTGAGATTGCTCTCTTGAAATCTTGCTCGAGGGCAAAGGCAGGTATACCAACCAATGATAGATGAATTTAGGTGGGTTCGAGACTTACTTGAGCTAGCTCGCGTGGGCGTGCTCTTAGATCATGAAGAAAGCCCCCAACTACTTGAGCTGGTTCAAAATCGCTTCCCTTAACCTATAATCCTCTTGTTTTTCTGTACAACACTTCTATAGTTAATTTGCAAGATAAGTGGGTCGAAGGGACCCACCCTTGTCTCAGGGCAATGCACGTTCACATGAGAAGGCGATGAAGTGTAAGGTTCAGTGAAAGATAGAAAAGGGAAGAGAGCTTGACGTAGGGTGAGACTAGCATGACGACCATAAATTACCTACTCGGAGTGGTAGCAAGACGGGCATAGTTCTCAAGACCAGCACGGTGGCAATACTACTCGAAATCGAGGTCGACGTATCGGTGATAGGCTAGGTCTACCCTCAGGCAAGTGAGAGGAGAAAGAGGTGAAGAATAAAGAACGAGACGACAAAGAGAAGGGGAAATCCGAACGTCAATAGGCATCGCGGTGGGCAATGCAAGGAGACGATGCATCCCTTGTGGATGGCGCTAGCTCCTGACGAGGCACACGACGATAGTTTCTCCTAGGTCGCACGGCGATAGGCGCGGGACGTAGGGAGAACGACGACGAGCACCGAGCACGTGGAGGAGGGTCGCGGACGGCGATAGGTGTTGCCAGCCCCTAACGGGCGGTGATAGGTATCGCCATCTACACTAGATGCATGACGGGAGAGACCCTTGCAGGTGGCAACAAACCTTGTCATCTGGGTTCTTCATCGAGATGTCAAAGCTACGTCTGTGGGCGGCGATGGGCAACGCCGTCTACAGACCACACTTGAAGGAAGAAACAGACGAGTAGAAGTGGAAGGAGACTCGCGCATGGCGCTACAATCGCCATGCATGCCCTGTGAAACCAAGAGAGAGGCATGCACGACACTGCCATGCATGACCCCTGCAAGGAACTCAGACGAAGAAGAAGGAGAAGAGAGGGTAAAAGGGAGAGACAAGAAGAAAAGAAAAAGAAGAGAGAGAAGAAGAAAATAAAAGAAGAGAAAGAAAGTTTACCTCAAACCTAGGGGTATCGGTCAAAAGTTTCTCTCACCTCACTCCCTTTCTCAAGCGTGACACAACAATGGTAAGAAAGCGAAACTTATATTAAGTGAAAAGTCTCTCTTGTGTGTGTATACCTCTATATCTTCTTTTTTTCTACGTACAATGATGGTATGTATATATATAAGTGTGCCCAAACATGGGTCGATGATCAAAAGTAACCCTAATTACTGAAAATTAAGATTAAATTGAATTAAAACAAATTGGGTGCAAAATGACAGATTTGGCCCTTCCTAACAAGTTGTAGAATTCCAGAATAGTCCCTATGTTGCCTTAGAACTTGCGTGATCTTGCATGGCTGATCTGAGGTCCTTCTGATGCCTGGTTGATCATAAGATGATTGTTTTCTTGAAGGGCTCGACATGACGATCGATTTGATACCAACTTCAAGCCATAGATCGTGTTTTTGGTGTATGATCATGTGACTTGAAATTTGAGTATGTCTTGAAACTTTGGATCAATAGTGTGCTCGTTCCTTGATGTTATTATATGTTTTCTTCATTGAATCACAGTGAGTATGCCACTATGATCACGAGGCACCAAACACAGCTCGATTTCGTGGCCGAACGAAGATTTTGCAAGTTTGGAATTTTTGCCGGAATCAAGGATTCCGATGACGGAATTTGCAGTCTGTTCGTCGGTTTCGTGTGTAGAATCCGACCATTAATCATGTACGGGTTTGGATCAGAGATGGCCCGATACCTTACTCTCGCAATGGAATTGGTCTCGCGTCGATCGGGCTTGTGAGCGGCGTGATTTGGCCACTCGAGAGAGGCACGACGCTGTCAAATTTTTTGCACTTTCTTCACAGATCAACAACTTTTCTCTAGCTTTTTTTTTTTTTGTACTTGTTCATTAGAATGAAAAGAGTGTATATTTCAAATTTTGGATCAAACAAAAGTCTCTAACATGGGTTTTGAAGATTGTTGCATTACATTAATATACAACCGTTGTATGAAATCACTGCCCTATAATATTTAACTTACACTAAAATACTAACAATTATTCCTAGGCTATTTGATGTCTAGGATGGTTTGGATGTATTGGGAAGTTCACATTTTTGTTTGAATTTTGATTCTAGCCAACGACACCATCACAACCACTAGATTTGAAATTTGATAGACAAAAATAATTGTGGACTTCTATTAAAAGTACATGGTTTCTTCCTGATTTGAAATCTAATAGACAAAACAACCGCCTAATTTGCAATTTTATTAATAATAGAAGTAGAGATGAGAAAATAGTTAAGATTGACTGCAGTGAAGTAAAAAAAAGACTGCATTTTTGATATATTCGGTCAATAATTTAGGAAAATAGAGAGATTGAGGATGATGTCGCACATAAAATTAGAGCTGGATAGGCGAAATGGAGATATGCAATTGGAATTTTATGTGATTGCTGCATACTAATGAGGCTGAAAGGTAGGTTCTATAGAACAATGGTGATACTAGCTTTGTTCTATGGGACATAATGTTGGGTGGACAAAAACTTGTATACCCATAGAATGAGTATACTCGAGATGGAGATATTGAAATGGATGAGTAGTAAGATAAGAAATGATGAAATTTGAATAAATATTATAAAGAATTTAGACGAGTTAGTTCAAGTAGAAGTACTGAAAAAGGAAAAAGATAGGCTCAAAACTGAGGTGGTTTGAAGTAGTCCGATAGGAACTTATGGTCTTCTTGAGAAATGGAGAGGTAGTTTCCTCCAAGGGCTTCAAAGATGAATGTATTTGGGAGAGGGCGGACTAATGTAGTAGCATTTTGCCCATGGGGAGAGGGCGGACTAATGTAGTAGCATTTTGCCCATGGGGAGAGGGCGGACCAATGTAGGACTAATGTAGTAGCATTTTGCCCATGAGGGGAGAGGGCGGACCAATGTAGTGTTTCACCCATGGGCACAAATGAAGAATTGTTTTTTTTGAGTAATTCAATGAGGATGACAAGCATTTTTTTTATTTTTTTTTGGAGTAATTCAAATGGGGGATAACGACCATTTCACCCATGGGGGGACCAGTGTTTCACCCATGGCACAAATGAAGTATTGTTTTTTTTGAGTAATTCAATGGAGATGAGGAGCTCTTTTTCTTATTTTTTATTTGGAGTAATTGAATGGGGATAACGAGTCCCACGCCCGTTTTTAAAATCGTCAGCGGTCTTTTTAAGACAGTCTGGTCACAGTGGAATCCTAGACCTGCGCTCTACACAAATGTTCCTACCACCGCGGCCGCAACCAGTCTCAGAAATGAAGCGTTGTTACAACTGTGTTAATACGTATTCCTAAACGAACCCTTTTCCCGCTCTGAAGCTTGCAACATCGTGAGGCAGAGCAATTTTAGAGGTGAGCAGCGAGCCCCTGCATCCATCCAATTTTCTTCAATCCCCATAGATTTGAAAGCTGTGTAATGAGTTAGTTTTCAATTTCTTATTTACAGTTCTTTCTGAAATAGGCTTTTGGTCGCTTTATGGTTTTCTTGGTCTATAGTTTTCTATAATTTGATCACTAATTAAATTTTCATCTACAATTAGGGTTTCATTTTCTCTTGCTCAGCATTGATTTGAGAGCTGAAGCTTTTTAATTTATGTTCCAACTTTTCCCATTTGGCTGCATTCTTGCTTAGTCTTGATTGTTTCTCTTGTTTCTTAGGGTTTACGCTTAATGCGCCATTACTCTTGAACAGCGTGCAAATAACGCAGGTTGGAGCTTTTCATGGCTATCATTTGTCAAATAGGGTTTTGTGGTTTCTACATTCAATAGTCATTTTCTTGCCGATAACTTTGGTGATTCAGCTACCTTAAGGGTTGAATACGCGTTTTTATTCTAGAAACAATTTCCCAAGGAAGAAAATATCTTTTCAATAATGGGTGGCTTAATATCTCTTGGAAGTTCATTTTCTGTTCCTGCTGTTCAGTAGTCATTTTGTTATCGAGTTCGTTTTTAGGGTTTCTCTTTTACTCCATTATTTTTTTTTGAAGCTGTTAACTGCTTTTTTACTCCATTATTCTTAAAATATTTGTGAGTATTAAAATAAGAAATAGAACGGCCGCACCTTAATAAGCTTTTCCAGTTTAATAACTAGTGTTTGGCATTTGTAGTTCCTGCTATCAGTTTTAAGAGGGTTTGAGACCATATTTGTAGGGATATGTGGATTTCCCTTCCCGTGATTAAAAGGAAAAAAAAAAAAAGTTTCAACTTAAAATGAAAGCTAGATACTCTGAAATAGGGAACTTCAGGCTCCACAATGCAATAAGTTATTAATTGTTTTTGGAAAAAATTGCAATAGCAGGTGTCACTACAAGTAGCTGCAAAAGTACTACACTCGTATGTTTGTTTTACACTCAGATATTAGGGTATCAACCTGCAATCAGGGCTTCAATCTACAGTAAGGTAATGATCTGATTGCATAGAATCTTGTCGCCAAAATGGCTTCAAATGGTCCAGCTCCATCTATGAAAAAAAGGGAATCTTCTGGATCGAGAGAAGGGGATCAGCTAATCATCACACCATTGGGCGCAGGCAATGAAGTGGGTCGTTCCTGTGTTTTCATGTCTTACAAGAACAAGACTGTTCTTGTAAGTTTTCTCATTTGTATATGAGTTATCTTTGTAGTATTGGGATTGGTTTCCCATTTGAGCATATTTTTTGGTTTTGGAATAGTGTTTTGATTTTGACTCTTGTGGTCGTTCTTCTGTTTCTTGTTGACAGTTTGACTGTGGTATCCATCCTGCATATTCAGGCATGGCTGCTTTGCCTTACTTCGATGAAATAGACCCTTCAACCATTGATGTACTTTTGGTCACACAGTATGTATTTCAGTATTTACTTATACCTTTATGTGCGTGCTGACTTAGGGGTTCAAAATATTAAAGTTTCTGGATTACAATTGCATTGTTTATGTGAATATCAACTTCTGTAAACTATGGGACATATGCTAAACGTACTTTAAACTATACTTTTTAAGAGTGTAGCATTTGGGTAATCATATCCAACATCCACTGTCCATACTTCTAGGGGTGGTGTAGTTGAGTAATTGTTCCCGCCAAAAGAATTGGTGGTTATAAAAGTGGAGAGCTAACTCATCATTCATTGCCCTTGGATAAATATGGACGGCATATGTGCCATTTCATTAATCATGATCCAATGTTATATGTGCATGTTAGAGAGTTTCTCTACAAGCGATAGGCTGTAGTGGCAACCTAGTGCAGAAAGAAATGAACAAGGGTTAGCTAGGGTGTTCCCTAGAAGCAACGCGCTGCAACCACCCCGTGTTGCTGTGATGAGTTAGGCAATGTTCAAAAATTTGCCCGCCCAATAGCCTAAGCGGGAAAAACAACATGTAAAGCCCTTTTGAAAAAATAACAAATAAGTTAGACCTATAAAAATGGTCAAGGCCCTTCTTTCTTTAGTTCACGGGCCCATCTGCTCTCTCTTTCTACATATACGTAGCAGAAAAAGAAGATGGCCTCCAAGTGTTTGATGTGGGGCCTCTCTCTTTCACGAATACAACACAAAAACACACATGGACCCCTATGCTATATCTCATCATATAAGAAGAAAAAGAATATGATTACCCCTGTGCTATACCTTTTTAAACAAAATGTAGTATTTTTGTAAATACACCAATGACAACCCAGTCTAACATTAATCTTTGCATTTGAGTGGTTAACTCCAAATATATATAATTTGGCAATGCAATCGAAATGATCAAAACTTAGAAGAATATAAAAATACTCAGAAAAACACTAAACAAATAGGAAGGTAAATTTAAGGCATATAATAATCTATACAGTAAAATGGGAACAACATAAGATGGAAAAAATGTTTTCAAATTAGCAAAAATGAGAGAGAAAAAATATAGGGATTTAAACCATATTAAATGCAGTAAGAGTGAGGACCAAAGGGTCTTGTTAAGGATACAAAAGTCAACGAAAGGTGGACAATTTTCATAAATTATTAAATGACTAACGCAATTGGAACAAAGTAGTAGAACGAATTGTTGAAGTGCCTAGGGGAGATCGGCATTGATTGGCTGATCAAGCTGTTCAACAAGGTGTTAAAAACAAAGAAGATGCCAAATGAATGGAGGAAAAGTATTGTGGTAACCTATTTACAAGAACAAAGGAGGCATAGAATTGTGTGAACTATTTAGGTATCAAATTTATGTGCTACGCTATGAAGATGTGGGATGCAAAGTGTATCAGAAAATTAATTTGGTTTATGTTAGGGAGGTCAACAATTGAGGCTATTTTTTTAGTTAGGCAACTGATTGAGAAATTTAGATGAGATTTATTTTGCCGGGTGTTGGAAAAGAAAGGAACCTCCAGATACTACATAGACTTGGTGAGAGATATGTACGAGAGAGCGTTAACTAGTGTGTGAATAACTAGTGGAGAGACAAGTGAGTTTTTGGTGATAATAGGTCTACATCACAGGGTCAGCGTTGAGCCTATATCTCTTTGTCTTAGTTATGGATGACTTAACTAGGCACCTATAAGATGAGGTACCATGATCTGTGTTGTTCGTGGACGATATAGTTTTGATTGATGAGACCCGAAGCGGTGTCAGCACAAAGCTAGAACTTTGGAGGGATACTCTAGAATTTCAAGGTTTGAAAATCAGCTGGACAAAGACAGAGTATATGGAATGCAAGCTTAGCAATAACAGGAATAGAGATGAGAAAGTAGTTAAGATTGACTGTGAAGAAATACCTAAAAGAGCACAATTTCGATATCTTCGGTCGATAATCCAGGAAAATAGAGAGATTGAGGAAGATGTCGCACATAGAATTAGAGCTGGATGGGCGAAGTAGAGATGTGCAATCAGAGTTTTATGTGATCGCTGCATACTATTGAAGCTGAAGGGGCAGTTCTATAAGATTGTTGTGAGACCATCTTTGCTTTGTGGGGAGGAATGTTGGGCAGTTAAGAAACAACATGGCCATAGGATGAAGCTGAGATGAGGATATTAAGATGGATGAATGGCAAGACAAGAAGGGATAGATCGAAATAAATACATTTGGGAGAACTTAGGTGTGGATCCAATAGGCGATAAGATGGGAGAAAGTAGACTTAGGGGGTTGGTCATGTGCAACATAGGTCCAGTACAACACTTGTTAGGAGGAGCGAGTTGGTTTAAGTAGAAGGATAAAAAAGAGCCAAGGTAGGCCAAAAAGGACATGGTTAAAAGTAGTGAGAAAAGACATGGGACTTGTGGCCTCATTGAGGCTATGGCTCCATGATAGAGCAAAATGACGAACTGGAATTCATGTAGTCAACCCCAAATAGTTGGGAAAATACCCTAAACCCTAAACCCTAAACCCTGTCCCCCACCCCCTACCTTGGAAACTTTATGGCTGCCCAAGTATTTGGCTCGCCCACCTAGGCGACCGCCCAGTTGCCTAGGTGGTTAGGACTCTTGTCCGCCTGACCACCTAGGTGATCAGGACCCTTGGCTGCCTAGGTGGCCACCTCCACCTTTTTGAACATTGTCAGGCAAGGGTTCCTATGCTATTTTTGATGAGCACTAGTAAATAAGCTAGTCCAAGAGAATATGATTCGTCTAGTCACATGAAATATAGGGACTCTAGTATTTAAGAGTGTGGAGTAAGTAACTACAATGAGAGAAAAAAGAGTTAACATAGCTTGCTTACAGGAAACTAAGGGAAAAAACTAAAGAAATTGATGGATACAATAAACTTTGATATATAGAAAAGGATACTAACAGAATTGACGGAGGCATGATAGTAACTGAAAATTTAAAGGATAAAGTAGTATATGTAAAGAGAGTAGGTGATAGGCTCTGTTAAATAAACTTGTGCTAGGGGATGGGATAATCAATGTGATTAATGCTTATGCGCCACAGTTAGGACTGAAGGATAGAATTACAAGACAATTTTGGGAGGATATGGTTGGACTAGTTTAAGGAATTCCAAATGGAGAGCGAATTCTTTTAGGATGGGACTTAAATGGTCATTTAGGAAAAGACAATAGAGGATATGAAATGGAGGTTATGGATTTGGGGAAAAAAATGAGATGGATAATACTATTCTTGACTTTGCTATGGCTTACAACCTAGCAATAGCGGACTCTTACTTTAAAAAGTGAGATCAGTGTTTGAAAATTGGGCTGCCCGACCGCCTAGGTGAAAAATTAAAAAAAACGTCGAGGCGCTGTCTGGACGGTGGAATTATGCGGCTTGTCTCCAGTCACCCGTGGCGCCGCCTAGGCGTGCAAGGTGCAACCTAGGTGCTGTAGTCTGTGCCCCCTCCTAGGCATCGCCCAGTGACAATTTGCGGCAGGTAAAAAAAAACCCTCGACGAGGGTAAAAAACATGTCATTTTCCCCCTAAAAAGGGGGAAAAGGGTTTTAGGGGTATTCTAAGCCTCCAAAACAAAAACCGTGGCTTTTAGGGTGAGAAAAGCTCCCCCAAAACTACTCTTTTGTGATTTATCGAAAGATTGATAAAGTTATGATTTTTGCGATTTCTTTCCAAAACAAAGGTAATAGTTCGTGGGTGGATTTAGAGGTTCTAGTAGTTGATTTTGAGAACTTTTGGCGACCCAATAGACGAAGTTTGCATCGACATCAATTTGATTTTGATATTTTTAAAGTATTATCATATTTGAAGGAGGGCTTTGGTTTTAATTTGCTACAACATATTATGTTGCGAATCATGTGTTTTTCTTTTACCTTTTTTTTTTCTTTTATGATATATTTATATATTTGGTTGATGACTTGATGTAGTTGTTTTTTTATTTTGCCTTGTTGACTTTGTGTATCGTTTCTAGTCTAGACTGCTTGTTTTGACTTCGTGTATCGTTTCTAGTCTAGACTTTTAGTCTAGACTTCTAGTTTCCTGCAATGATATTTGGGATTTCAAGCATTTTAATGTCTTACAAGTTACAATCTCTTTGAGACTTGTATCCGTAAATCTGTTATGTGATTGTACTATTACATTTTCATCTATTTCTCAAGGAGTTTGGGGCTCTAAAATTTCCCTAAAAACTCCCAAAGACTTAAAACCATGCCCTAAGAACTTCCTTGTTTTTTTTGTTTGGGGTGGGGGGTTTCAATTTTGGTGAGGGCACCCTGTCACTAGGCGAGTGCCTAGGCGCCTAAATCCGCATTTTTGAACATTGAGCAAGATGAACATTTAATAGCTTACACAAGTGGAACATATAAATGCTCGATAGACTTATTTCTAGTCATGAAGGCAGTCGACTATCTTGTAAAGACTGTTAAGTTATCCTAGGAGAGAGATTTGCCACACAACATAAACTCATGATTATGGATATTTTCATAAGCAGATGGAAGATGAGTGAAATTAATAGGTGCCCCAGAACTAGGTGGTGGAATTTAAAAAGGGAGAAAATAGATTTATTTAGGAATCAATTGATAAAAGAAGGAAAATAAAATTCTAAGGATGAAGTTAATGTTATATGGAATGAGATGACTGATTGTATTAAGAAAGTGGCAAAATAAATTTTAGGAGAATATAGAGGGTAAAGATATTTAAATAAGGAAACTTGGTGGTAGAGTGATGATGTTAAAAAGGCTAGTAACAAAAAACGATTGTTTTACAAAGCCTGGCAATGGAAGACTATGTAAGGCTAAGCTTATGGCATGTGATGATCTAGACAATAAATTGAGGACAAGAGAAAGTGAAAATGATATTTTAAAACTAGCAAAAATTAGATAGAGGAAATGTAGGGGCCTAAATTATGTTAAATGCATTAAGAGTGAGGATCAGAGTGTTTTGGTGGAGGATGACGAAGTCAATGAAAGGTGGAGAATTTATTTTCAAAAATTGCGAAATGACAACTACTCTGAGAGCATAGCATTAGGATGAACTTTTGAAATAATTGAGGTTGGAGGTTATATGTACATCGTAGGATTAGGATATTTAAAGTAATAGAAACTTTGAGATAGATGAAGATAATAAGGCTTTAAGACCAGATTGTATCCCATTAGAGGTTTGGAAGTGCTTTAGAGAGATTGACATATTTTAGTTGACTAAGCTGTTCAATAAGATTTTGAGAACAAAGAAAATACCAGACGAATGGAGAAAAAATACCATGCTACTTATTTACCAGAGCAAAGGAAGTATACATAATTGTACGAACTATCAAAAGATCAAACTATGAGCCGCACTATGAAGCTGTGGGAAAGACTGATTAATCAACGACTACGACATTAAACGAGTGTATCAGAAAATCAGTTAAATTTTATTCTAGGGAGGTCAACAATTGAGGCTATTTTCCTATTTAGACAATTGATTGAGAAGTTTAGGGAGAAGAGAAAAGACCTCCATATAGGGGTGACAATGGGCTGGGTGGCCAGCACTAAAAAACTAGGGCTTGGGCCACAAAGTGTGGCCCAAGGGCAGCGCCAGGCCCATTGTGGGCCAAGGACGGTGCGCTTTGTCTCGGAGCAACCCGACCCTCTTTTTCTTTATTTTTTTCTTTTATTTTTTTTATTTTACTTGGCCCAACTCGGTCTGGCCAGGCAATGATAGGGCTAGCGCCGTCTCTAGGCTAGGGTCTCTTTGTCGCGATTAGGGCTGTTTTGGGCCTGGGCTAGTCTTATGGGGTCTACGACAAGGCTGGGGACTGGGCTGGTTTGGCCCTTTGCTAGCCTTGCCTCCATATGATCTTTATTGCTTTAGAGAAAAGGGTACCTAAATAGGTAATTTCTTGGATGTTGGAAAAGAAAGGAGTATCTAGAGGATATACTGACACAGTGAGAGATATGTACAAGGGATTGCTATTTATTATGAGGACAACTAGTGGAGAGACAAGGGAGTTTTCACTGCATCAGGGTCAGCATTGAGCCCATATATCTTTGTTTTGGTTATGGATGAGCTAACTATACATCTACAGGATCATGTACGTTGTTTATGTTGTTTGCGAATGATAGTTTTGATTGATTAGACTAGAGATGGTGTTAATGCAAAGTTAGAACTTTGGAGGGATGCTTTAGAATCAAAAGGTTTTAAGATTAACTGGACCAAAAAATAGAATGTATAGAATGTAAGTTTAGTAATAAAAGAAGTAGAAACGAGGAATTACTTAAGATTGATGGCCTAGAAGTACTTAAAAGAGATTATTTTCGATATCTTGGGTCAATGATCCATGAAAATGGAGAGATTGAGGAAGATGTCTCGCATAGAATTATAGCTGGGTGGACGAAGTGAAGATGTACTTTTGGAGTCTTATGTGATCATTGCATACCAATGAAACTACACGTGATGTTCTATAGGACCGTTGTAAGACCAGTCATACTTTACGTGATGGAATGTTGGACGGTAAAGAAATAACATATTCGTAAAATGAGTATAACTGAGATAAGGATGTTAAGATGGATGAGTGGTAAAATAAGAAAGGATGGAATTTAGAATGAATATATTCGAGGGGAGTTGGGGGTGACTCTACTAGGCGATAAGATACGGAAAGTAGACTTAGGTGGTCTAACAATATGCAGCGTCGACTTAGAACATGATATGGATGATTTGGTTCAAGTAAAATGCTGTAAAAGGGCAAGGGGAAATGCCAAAAGGACATGCATGGAAGAAGTGAGAAAATATACAATGACCTATCTAACTGAGGCTATAGCCCTTGATAGAGTTGAATGACAGAACACGATTCATATAACCAACCCCAGATAATTGGGATAAGACTCTGATGATGATGATTTACTATGTTGGGTCTTTTCCCCAAATTGTATGGAGTGTGGAGTATTTTCCCTATTCTAAAAGTTTAAGGGTGATTTCTTAGCCAGGGATTTGCCAAAGGTTATTGCTAGAACGAGTCTTGTCCCTTGAAACCAGCTATTTCATCAAGTCCCTAGTGGCATATCATATGCCTTGAGAGAGTGTGTTTAGTAGTGTCTTTAAGAGAAAGTTTGAAGAACCATGTTAGTAGTTGGCTCACCAAAGACTGTGGACTAAGTGCTTCTTGTGAAAAAAGGGAAAAGTTCACGAGGATGATCCACAATTGCCGAGATCTACCAACATAGACAGCGACCCTGCTTTGGAATCTTTCTCAATCGCTCCTAAAAAGGGATCTTCAAGTGATTTCGATTTTTAAATTTTGGGATGTTGAACCTCATTGTTAGGGATCCTGATTCCTAATTTTAGGGATCTTGATTCCAACCTTAAAGACCCAAATGACAACTAAATTAATGTTTTTTTTATTTATAGCTAACTAGCAACTCAACTATATTTTTAATATAATTGCATTGCTTGCTCATTGTAAATAAAGAGATCCCTACTTTAAAGAGTTTATATAGTTGTAGATTATACATATTAGGAGCAAGATCCCCAAAAGGTTGGGATCAAGCACTTAAAAGGTTGGGATCAAGATCTCCAAAAGATTGGGATCTTGATACCTAACATTTGGGTATCCAGATCTCTAACGTATGTATTGTATAGACGACGCTCCCAACCATAGGGATCATCTGGCATTTCATGTCCCCCGCTCTTGATCCCAATCCCGTTTCCGGTCTCGCTCCCAATCACAGCAACTAACAATGATCATTCTCTATGTCATTAATAGTTCTCTCATGTCATTCTTAATACTCATACACAAATAGACATGCAACACATGATCACATGCTAAATCAGAATTCAAGTACTTGACGATATCCAGATATTCGTGTTCAATGATTTTCACGTGATTGATAGTGTATATGGTTTAGAAGCTCATTATTTATGATGAAAGAATGGTCCATTTTGTACTGTGTTGATGCGCTTTCTTTTCCTTTAGCACTTTCATGGTTTAACCAGTACAACATTTTATCTTCATTGAGTATACACTATAGACCTCAAGAATGTATTTGTGGGTGTTTTGTATTTGTTGGTCCATGTGTGTGGTTGTGTTTTATTTTTTGTTTTATTCTGGCACTTACCTGAATTTTTGTCATTTCATTTTGACAGTTTTCACCTGGACCATGCAGCTTCACTTCCATATTTCCTAGAGAAGGTAAGGAATCCCTCAGCTATATGGATTCCACAGCTATGTTATTGAAAGATTTCCAATTTCTAGTTTATCCAAGTATGGGAGTCGAGTCCAATTTAAAGTTGAGGTAGATAACTTTATACCACTAGACCATACCTCTCCAACCCCTAAGTTATTGAGATTCAGTTAGATCATGGGCTGATGTAGATGATGATGTGAATTTGCAGACCACATTCAAGGGCCGGGTTTTTATGACCCATGCTACAAAGGCTATTTACAGGCTGATTTTATCAGATTATGTGAAAGTTAGCAAAGGTTCTGTTGAGGACATGTTGTATAATGAGCAAGATATAATACAATCCATGGATAAAATTGAGGTGCGTTTTCTGCAGTCTCTAATCATATGTTCATTGGGGTAAATTGTTTTCTTTTTTTTCCTTTTGGACATGCAAGTGTTTTTGGTAACTGTTGGGCCACAATCCAGCCACCCATTACTAAATCTGAGCTATCCTCTGTGTCTGGGTAGATCATGAGTCTACAAGCTACTGAAGCTTTTCATCCAACTCCTTTTTTGTTTTTCCTCAATTTTTGTGAGTGTAAATTAATGGTCTGAAACTTTATGCTACTTCTGGATGGAGCTGATTTTTTGGATTTCTTATGTTAAAATATCAATGAGCTTTTGAATAGTTAGAAAATTTTGCAAATGACCAAATTTTTATTTCAGAAAATAAGGTGACAAAACTGAAATTTAGCTTTTACGTGTCGTTATAATAATGGGAAAGTTAGTCCAAGTTTGTCTAAAGTGGGCTGAAAATAGTCCAGGTTTGTCTAAATTGGCTAATACGCAATCCACTGGTCAGCCTTTTCAACCTGATTGCTTCGTTTACTTTGTTTGGATTCACCCTTGTTTGATACAAATGGGAAATGGTTAAATAGGCTGTTCCTTTATGATTCAATAGCACTAGATTCAGATATCTATGCGTACTTGAATCTCGTGAAAATGCATACTTGCAGGTGATCGATTTCCACCAGACACTGGAAGTGAATGGTATTCGCTTCTGGTGCTATACTGCTGGACATGTACTCGGTGCTGCAATGTTCATGGTTGACATCGCCGGGGTTCGTGTTCTTTACACAGGTGACTACTCGAGAGAGGAGGACCGCCACCTCCGTGCTGCTGAGCTCCCACAATTCTCACCTGACGTGTGCGTCATAGAGTCAACCTATGGTGTACAGCTCCATCAACCACGTGTTGTCCGTGAAAAACGTTTCACTGATGTCATTCATAATACTGTAGCTCAAGGTGGTCGGGTCCTTATACCTGCCTTTGCCCTCGGACGAGCTCAAGAACTTCTGCTTATACTTGATGAGTATTGGTCAGCCCACCCTGAACTCCATAACATCCCTATATATTATGCTTCGCCACTTGCTAAGCGTTGCATGGCAGTGTACCAAACCTACATTAATGCAATGAATGAAAGGGTGAGGGCGCAATTCGAGGTTTCCAACCCCTTTGATTTCAAGCACATCTCGTCACTCAAGAGCATTGAGAACTTTGATGATGTTGGGCCTTCGGTTGTCATGGCCAGCCCAAGTGGATTGCAGAGTGGCCTCTCTAGGCAGTTGTTTGATATGTGGTGCCAGGACAAGAAGAATGCCTGTGTTATACCTGGTTATGTTGTTGAAGGGACCCTGGCTAAGACCATCATCAATGAGCCCAAGGATGTGACACTTAGTAATGGGCTTACAGTGCCTTTGAACATGCAGGTATGTAATTATCCCCAAAAAAAAAAGGAGTGGATAAAGATCTCTAACACTTCTTAGCTTCTATATTCACTTAGTTATTCATTAACTAGTTCTAATGTTTTTTGTGTTTGGTTGGCAATTTGGGTTAGCAATATTTGTTGATAATTTTTTTTCTCTATTTTGTCTCGTACTTTGTACCAATTAAGATCTGTTTAAGTCATTGTTATTTGATTCTGTTAATTATCATCCATTGTATGGAGCATGTCAACTTGTTATTTGGATTTGATTTTTGAACAAGCGCAAATCATATATGCTAGTCAATTGCTTGTGCATATGGGCATACCGAACCTGTCCCCATTGTAAGACATAAGGGGGAAGTGGGAAGGGGTTGATAGAGTGAGGTAGGGAGGTGTGACTGCCTGATATCGCATTTTCATCAGTCTTCCCCTTGATGGAGTGAAGTTTTTGGGGCCCAGCAACTAAGATCCTCCAACTTCAAAAGAGTTGGACTGCTACCTCGTTGCATTAGTGGCATGTATTGGCTAGTAATGGCACAATGGATCTCTGCCAAACACTCTTTTCAATACCTACGTCATCTCCGGCCACCCTTTCTCACTCCCCATCTTCACATCTCCACCCTGCTCTCTCTCTCTTCTCCCCGCTGCTCTTTTGCTCGCAGGCGTGCTCATGGCCAATCTTGTGAAGGGAATTTAGCAAGAGGAGTGCGAATATCTGCAGCCTTGCTGGCAAGGAAGCCATTAGGCCAGTTTCATGGGATCTCGAATTTTGATGTTGGAAACTTGCCATGGTTTTTCTTGATAGAGAGTTGACGTGGATCAAGAATTGTTTGATTTCAGGTAATGGAGATTGAAGGGGCAGATAAAATTGATAGTCTAGCAACAAAAATAATGGTGTGAGGGAGAAGATGACCTCCGATGCAGTAATATGTGCCCTCACCTTCCCATCACCCAACCCATCCCCATATTAACTCTGCCTTCAGTCTCTCCCTGCCACAGTAACCTATCCCATCAATAGCCTTGTCTTGCAATTCTCCAGAACTTCCCACCCAAGGTTTCAAAAAATGCTAAGCAACCGGCCTGTTGCTTAGTGCCCAGCGCCTAGGCGGGCGCCCGAAACCTCAGGCTCCCTGTAGGACAAAGTTTTTAGATATCTACGTATATGTTCTGTTGAAACGCACATATATACATATATTTGTGTCAATTTTGTAATTTATTGCATTTGTATGTATTGTAACATATTTTTTTTATATATAAACATATTACATATCACATGCTAAGAATAAACTTGTTCAACATATCAAAATTTAAATCATACAAAATTTAAAAAAGGTTAAAAGTCTAATAGGCTATGTATTAGTAATAGTCTAATAGATTATGTATTAGTAAATTTAAAAAAGTTAAAAGTCAAAGTTTTCGATTCTTAGAAATAGGTATGGCTAAGAGATTTAGGGTTTAAGAAAGTGTTTTTATTTTAGTTTATTTTATTTTACTTTGGGGGGTTGAAAATAACCCCCATAATCTATTCGAGCTTTTAAGTGAGGTCAAAATTACCCCTTTGCCCTTTTGGGCTTTTTTAGAAATGAAAAAAGGGGTCACTACCTTAGGCACACACGCCCAGGTACAGCTGCCCAGAACAGGGCACACAGGCCTAAGCATGAGGCCTGAAGCCCCTTGTGCGCCTAGGTGCAGGGCAGTCCTATTTTTTGAACACTGCTCCCACCCTGCACACAATTCCTTTTCAGTACTCCAGTGAACAATGGAAACCTGCCTGCAACCTACCTTACCCTGCGGCCACCAAAAATCTACAACTACTATTCCCAGTTCATTCATCTAGAAGAAGGTTCGAAACACCCAATCTATCTTACCCGCTTGGTCAATCAAACCCACAGTCTGTTGCTCTTCCTTGCAAAGCTATCTCACAATGGACCTTTCTTAATAGAATCAACTCTCTGAACCTTTATCAACCTAAGCAAAATCTGTATGAAAACAAATACCCCTAGCAGCAGCTGTTAGGCCAGCCAATCCACTTGCCTCTTCCCAGACTTCCATTCTCCGTACCGACCTTAACCCATTATTTTGTGGAGGTATCTTCTACATCTAGGTGCGGGAGAACATGAGCTGGTGAAAGAAGGGTCTTCTCCAGCTCTCTTGGGTTCTTTACGTAGGACTGACCTAAGTGGATCAATGCTTGTATGAAGAAAAACTTGGTTCGTACCAAAACTGTGTTTAAGATTAGTGCGGGAGTATAGCGTTCTTTCCCCCTCATCTGAAAAAGAAGCCTTATGGATTTTGAAGTCTCCCGGCCTTCTTTTCACGGTGCCTCCTTCATCAATCGAACCCACTCTGCTGCTTTTCCTTGCAAATCTATCTCACAATCTACCCTACCCACCGGTCAATCGAACCCATAGTCTGCTGCTCTTCCTTGCAAAGCTATCTCAAAATGCACCGTTTCTAATAGAATCAACTCTCTAACCTTTATCAACCTAAGCAAAAACCATTGGGAAACAAATGCTCCCAGAGGTAGCTTTTAGACCAGCCAATCTACTTGCCTTTCTCAGACCTTTCATTCTCCCTAGCAGCCGTAACCCATTCTTTCAGTATTGGGGATATCTTTTACATCTAGGTGCAGGAGAACATGAGCCAGTGAAAGGGATGGTCTCTTACACCTCTCAAATGGGGGCCTTAATCCATGGAGGAATGACCTGAAGAGGATCAATGCTTGGATGAAGAGAACTTGGTTCCTACCAAAACTATGTTTAAGATTAGTGCAGGAGTTAACTTTCATTCCTTCTCATCTCAAGAAGAAGCCTTATGGGTTTTGAAGTCTCCCTGCCCCTTCTTTTCATGGTGCCCTCCTTCGTCTGGAACCCTGGCACCCGCCTTTAGGTGCCTCAAGACCCCGCAAAATGTGAGCTAGGCCCTATCCCTCTCCAAAGGAACTTAGAGGTATTCAAGGGGATAAGTAACCTAGAGGTGCGTTCTTACTTTTTTCTTCTTTTCTTTTTCTTTTTTTTTGGTTTTTCAAAATGAAGTTCACTGTTTTGTATAAGAAAAAAATAAGAGTTACAGAAAAGAGTATTGGTCACCCACAGGTTCGGTGTTCTAAACAGCTCTCAAAAAATGGGGTTATCTCACTCTATACAAGATGGTGGTATATCTGCACACCACATAAAACAAAAAAGGATAACCCAGCTGGCCCATTAAGCAAAAAAGGTGGAGCAGCTAACAAAACCGAGACAGTCCTTAGTGAGGAGTCTCGACGGTGGCTCCTGAGTTATCTCCAACTTTAACAAGGGCATCAGCTTTGTAGTTTGCTTCCTGCCACGTATGTTGATAAGAGATGCATACGCCTAAAAGCTGATCAAATACTTGTAGTAGATGCCACGGACAAGGAGAAGGCTGTGCAGCCCAAGTGAGTACATTTTTGGAGTCACCCTCAATGATAAGGGCATCAGACCAATCCGGACAGAAACTTTTGATCCCTTCCGAAAGGGCAATTGCCTCTGCTGTAGTGGAATGAGTCACTCCAGTGAATCCCAAGGAGAGTTGCTTGTTGCCATTATGGTCCCTGAAGTGTCCACCAAAGCGAGCTAGGCCAGGGTTGCCAAGAGAGCAAGCATCGAAGTTGAGCTTGAAGCTTTCTTGCTCTAGTGGAAGCTAAATGGAAGACCAAGGGAATTGGGCTGACTTACTTTCCATGGCAGCAAGCCATTTTTGGAGGAAATCAGAGGTCGCACTGTGTTTACTTCTTAAAGCTGAATTGGAAGTTGGTTGAGGTCCTGCCTTAGGTGTCCTCCAAATTCTGGTAGATATCATCGATCAAGATTTGATCCTCGATTCAGTCTGCACAGTTTGCTTAGTTAAGTTTTTCGTTCTTATCAAACACAACCATGGTAGCAAAGTTCGACTCAGCATGCAAATATCGCAGCAAAAGATAGTGCAGATCAAGGACAGCTCAAAAGGATTGAAGATGTTGGGTGGCAAGTAGTCAAACGTTCGAAAAACCAAAAAACAGAAGTGACTGTTGGAATGGAGTTTCTGGCACACAAATGGAATAGATGGAGATGGACTTGGGGAAGCGGGTGTAATCCAGCACATGGCCGCATCTGACCAGCTTGGGACACATCCGCAAACAAAAAATATCACTCCCTGCAGGCCCATTTCCCAAACTTTGATCTTATCCAAAAATCGAAGTCCAATTGAACCCTGGCTTCATAAGAGTTCAATCCAGTTCATGGATCTCCAAACTCAGGATGATTGTCGTTTTACCCATCTCATATGCCATAGGATGTACTCCCTACTCCCATCTGTCATACTCCCTCCTTGCTACCATAGCCATCGTTGAGCTTGGAGACCTATGCAGGTGTTACCCGCCAAACCAGTCGTCTTGCCTTACGATTGCCACATAAGCAAATCCCAACCATCCATTTGCTCAAATTAATGCCTTCTATCCCAAGTTCAAATTTAAAATCAGATTCAAATGAAGTCCACCCTTGCCCAATGCCAAATCCTGAGTAGTTCAATCCAAAAATCGTGTCGGTCATCCATCTGTCAGCATCAAGATCCAACTGGTGTGTTGTCAGCGAGAGTCCTAGTAACATCATTGCCCTCTGCTTCATCTCAGGTTGCCATTTGACAAATGGATGGCCCAGATGACTTCAGCTGCCCATCCCCAGGTACCCTTCCCATCAATGGCTCAGATTGTTCTAGACGTAACTTGCGCTCTAGCCCCTCTCCCACCGAAGACTCGGAGTAAACGGACAGCCAAGATCAAATCCATAGCTTTGACTAAGGCTGAGATCAAGACTATAACATCCACTTAACTACCAATGGCCAAGATCAATCCTACCATTCTGTGGCACCCCACTCCGGGCATATTATTTTTATCCCAAAAATGCTCCTCACCATCCCCATTGATGAGAAGTCATGACTGTGCCACATCCACGCCATTAGAGACCCTTAGGATTACCAGCCTCGTGCTTGACAAATCAGCAGTTCCCA